CCGTGTGCATTTCACGACTTCCCTGCAAATCTAAACGCATGCTCAAATAAAAGTTTATATGGCAGAGGAAAAAATTTAAAAAAAAAGACCTACAGGGAAAAGCAAGATGACAGACACCCAGGCCTCTCACGGAGCACCCACGGGGGAAACTGAGGCTCCGGCTAGGACAGCGCACACACAAACGTAACATGCGTGAGGCCGGACAGAAGTGGCCTTGTGTGTAGGAACACAAGCTTCTCCCAGGCATGCGACATGGAGTCGCGTGAACAAAGCCAGAGCGGTGCTGGGCCATGCCTGGCCGCGTAGACACACAGAAGAGGGCCCCTCTCCACACACGCACCCCCACCCCCGACTCACGCCTGTCATCCTAGCCACTCAGGAGGCTGAATCTGAGGAGTCAAAGCCAGCCTGGCGGGAGAGTCAGTGAGACTCTCATCTCCAATGAACCACCAAAAAAGCCAGAGGCGGAGCCGTGACTCAAGGGGTAGAGTGCAAGCCTTGAATGAGAAAGCAAAGAGATAGTGCCAAGGCCCAGAGTTCAAGTCCTGTACTGGCACACATGCATGCGCATGCGCGCGTGCGTGCATGCACGCACACACACACACACACGCACACACACACACAGAGCATGGTGGTGCTGGGGGGAGAACTGGGGACGGAGGGAACACTTCTTCCCTGCTGAGCAAAATCATTCATTAAATGTGCCCCCATCCCCACATCTGTCCCCGCACTTCCTGTCCCCCCCCAGGCCCAGGCAGGAGTGATGTCATCTCTGGCCTTTTGTCCCCTGAACTGCCTCCCTCCCTCCTTGTTTGCAGATGATTCAGGCTTCTGATTCCAGCAGCTGCTTCCCGTTGGTGTACAGCCACGAGTGATTGAAGATATTGGGGTGGGGGGGGGCGAGGAGCAGCCACAGAACAGGAAAGAAGTGGTCTTTCCTCGGGAGCAACCATCTACCCAGCATGCACAGCGCGCGGCTCTTCCAGCTCACTAGCCAGCACCTAGGGTGGCAGGGTGCTCCTGCATCTAAGGAACATGGCACCTGTAGTCTGGAAGATGGCAGGGTGGGGGGGGGAGCTTGGGACCTACCCCCAGGACTACTGAGGGAACCCCTTCTCCAAGCCCTGTGCCCCTACCCACTAGCCTTACCGACGCAGCTAGCCAACAGGTAGGTGTAGATACAAAAGGAAACTGAGTCTGGCCGTCAGAGGTGGGGCTGAGACTCGGTGGTCCTCACGGTGCCAGGCTGGGTCTTTGGGGGAACCTCACAGTGGGTTCTGGTTCCATAATGAAGGGCTGGAGCGCAGCTAGAACATCCCCTCCCAAAACAAGTATGACTCTTGCCAAAAACTGAGAGTTAGGTCCTAAAAATAAGTCTCCAAACCCAGCAAGGCGGGGTCACTCACCACAGGGAGACACACATCAAAGCTGGGGAGGGGGGGCCTGCATGGGGGGCAGGGCTCACCCCAACACCACCCAGTCCTGAGCTCCAGAACTGGGGGGAGGGGGACCTTTCAGACTCACAGCCTCTAATCCACCCCCAAACAGCATCTTAGCCTTTTCCTAATCAACCTGTCCGCCTGTCTGTCTGTCTGTCTGTCTGTCTGTCCTGTCTGTCTGTCTCTCTCTCTCTCTGCCTTCTTAAGGTTTAGGAGAAAAATGGAAAAGGGAGGAAGAGATGGGGGGGAGGAGAGAAGGAGAGAAAGGCAAGAGAAGAGGGAGGGTAAGCTCCGGTGTGCATTTGGGGTTCTGCACTACCCCAGACGCTGCTGAAACTCCAGCCTGGGGCCAATGGCTGCCCCATGCCACTCCCCCACCACGGGCCCCCAATTTGCGGCTACAAGCCTTCCTAGGACTTACACCCCAGCAAAGTGAGGATGTGGCAGCCCCATGCGGGGAAGAGTTAATAGTGTTGGGGCTCAGGAATGACACCCTAAGGTGTGCTATGCGCCTAGGTCTCCTGAGTGCTTGGTCTAAGGGAGCCCCCAGATCTCTACTTCCTTTCTCACTCACCTCCCCTCTCCCCCTAGAGTGGGAAGGCTTCCCCCCCCCACAGCCCACATCCTTCCTCCACCTTGAGATAGAAGATTCTAGGTAGAACCCTGCTCAATTTTCCTGCTCCCTTCCAGGAATCAGAGGGAGGGAGGGAGGGAGGGAAAAAAGGAAGAAGGGAGGGAGGGAGGGATTCAGGACAGCAAAGAGCAAAGGTTGACAGGCATGGCACAGACTTTGTATAGGGCCAGCTGTCCCCAGTTCTCCGTCAGCTAGCAGGGGCCCCCACTCATACAGAGTGAGTTTCTGATGTCAGGGTGTGGGGCAGAGGAGACCTCCCTTTTCTTGTATAGAATGCCCAGGCCTGTGTCTGGTGGATTCTGGAAAGTCAAGGTCAGGAAGCTGCCCCCCAACACGCAGCCCTTGCTGGGTACATCCTGGAGTGAGCAAGCTAGCGGCCATCTGTGGGGCCCTGGAGCCCTGCCTACTTCCTGGGCCCGGGGGCCCTGTCAGCTCCTGGGCTCTGGGGCCTAGCTGTCAGGGCTGCTGGAACGCAGTACCACTGATGGAAGCTCTTTACAAGTTGTGTGCCGACACTGAGGCTTGAACCCAGGGCCCGGTACTATCCCTGAGCTCAAGACTGATGCTCTACCACGTAAGCAACAGCCATGGGTTTTTTGGGTTGTTAGTTAAACAAAAGCCATAGCTTTTTGCTAGTTAGCTGGAGATAAGAGTCTTGGATTTTTTTTTTTTTTTTGGCCTGGGCTGGCTTCAAACCATGATCCTCAGGTCTCAGCCTCCTGAGAAGTGAGGATTACAGGTGTCAGCCACACACTCGGGACTCACAAGCATCTTTTTCTTAAACCCTCAGTGCACACAGCACAGACAGGCTGTTTGCTTGCCCCGGGCCTCAAGGCTGAGAGTACCAGGGTTCCATCCTCAGCACTGAAAAAAGAGAAAGAAAACCAATCTGGTTTTATTGTTGTTGTTGTTGTTGATTTCACAATACTAGGATTTGAACTCAATGCCTCATACTGTGCTACTTAGGAGCAGTCACCGCTTGAGCCTGGGCCAGGCCTTTTTGCTTCAGTTTTCAGAGTCTTGAACACAGATCTTCCCATGTCAGCCTCTCCGGTAGCCAGGATTACAGACATGCACTCCCACACCCGAACCACCACACACATACCTGGCTCTGAATGTGTCTATATATATTTTTTTTAATGAGGAAGAAAAGCCACATCTTTCCCACATATGGATTCCAAATAATCTTGGCAGCCAGTCCAGCCCAGGAGCCTCATCGTCTCCTGACCGCTAGGCTTAGGGGGCTCTTTGAAAATCCAGGTCAGGGGAATCACATAGAGGAAAAGTAACCATTGCCACCTTGCTCCCGACCCCAGAAAAGTCATTCATGCAGGCAGCACTATCCCCAGTGGGACCAGAAAGGCTCGTTGCACACAGGTCTTCCCCCAGAACCCAGAGCCCCATAGCAATCAAGAGAACCAACCAGCAGACGGACCCAACTCGAGGGGCTTTCTGCGCCATCTCTTCGCGGTATGGATGGTCAAGACCATGGGAAACAGGACACTACCCAAAGCTACTAGAGGCTGGGCGGACGGGAGGCTGCACCATGATTCCCTCGGCAGGAACCTGGCTCAGACTCAGACGGTGGTTATGATGCTGGCCGGCCCCAAACCCAGCACAGAGTTTGCAGGTGCCAGCATGTGCTGGGGTAACTTGGGATGGTAAAATGGGGACCTGCGTAAGGGGATCTCTTGGTACTAGTTTGACATCCTTCTTGCAAATCAATACTCACACCAATATTAAAATGATGTAGCTGGGTGCCAGTGGCTCACGCTTATAATCCTAGCTACTCCGAAGGCTAAGATTTGAGAACCGTGGTTCAAAGCTAGCCAGGGTGGGAAAGTCCTTAAAACTTCCTATTTCCAATTTTCCAGCAAAAAAGCTGGGAGTGAAGGCATGGTTCAAGTGGTAGAGCACCAGCCTTGATAAAAATAAAAAAAGCCAAGCAAGAGTGCAAGGCCCTGAGCTCAAGCCCCAATACTGACAACCTCCACCCTCAACACACAACAATGTCTAACTCTAGGGATCTCACTCAGAAACAGGTGTAAGGAACTAGGTTAAACTGCACTAACTAGGCCTTATCTCAAAGCAGAAGGAAGGCGGGAAGGAAAGAAGGAAGGAGGTAAAGAGGGAGGGAAGGAAGGAAGGAAGAAAGGAAAGGAGGGAGGGAAGGAAGGAAGGAAGGAAGGAAGAGAGGGAGGGAGGGAGGGAGAGAGAAAGGAAAGGAGGAAGGAAGGGAGGAAGGAAAGGAGGGAGGGAGGGAGGGAGGGAGGAAGGGAGGGAGGGCAGACAGGCAGGCCTCAAACTATCAGCAAAAGGCTAGGCTTTGAGGACCCTCCCCGCAGCTGAATGCACATTTATGTCCGTCTATAAACCTTCCTCTCCTCTTCAACAGATGTCCATTTCAAAACTTCCCACAAGTTAAGTTTCAGCAACATGTGGGAGGGAACCATGGCTCAAAGCACAGGGCTGCAGAGAGCTGCTTTCTACAGCCTGGCATTCCAGGCGGGCGAGTGGAGGCAAAGGCAGACAGCAGCTTCTTCACCACCAACTGCACACACCAAGATCAATTCTTCCTCAAAGAAAGAAGAAGTATTCAATTCCCCCACCCCGGAGCCCAGCAAAGAACCAGTAGGCAGAGTTCCAAGAATATGTAGCTCACAGGAATGACCCAGGGGGAGGCGGGAGGAGGGGAAGGGGAGGAGGAGGGGAGGGGGAGAGATTCCTTAAGCCAAAAGAAGTGGCTGGGCTGACATGCAAATTGTAGGCTCATTTATGACATGCAAATGATGGGCTCATTTAAGAAACCAGCCTGGAAGGCCAGGGAAGGCCAAAAATGGTTTTCAGGAGAAGAAACAGGAATTTGACTCCCCCCCCCCCGCAGTGAATTCAAATACCAGTTTAAAAACAACTAAACACACACACACATGAAAAACAACTTGTTACCAGAAGCTCCTGAGGACCCCCCCCAAAAAAAAATTTTTTCTTCAGAGGAATATTTCAACTTCCAACTTTGGAATTCAGGGCGTTTCTCTCAGGCCAAAAGTCCCACAAATCAAAGATAAGATGACCGAAAGTTTGAGGTCAGGTTCAAATATAGCAGGAGTATAAATCTGTGGACGCTCATCTGCGGGTAGGAAACAGACCCATGGGAAAGCGCGCTGCGCCTCCAGAAACCAGCACATAAAACCACGCTCCCTTCCCACAGAGGCCACGGGTTTCCGCAAACACCTCGGAACCCATGACCGAGCCGGCGCCATCCTGGTGACAGTCACAGAGAAACAAGGGACAAAAGACACACAACCACACATGAGGAAAACTGCACACAGCAAGACAATGCCTGTCCTCTCCTTCCACGCTTCCTAAAATAGTAATATTTTTATAAATGGGTATGCGTGTGTGTGCGCGCGCGCGTGCCAATACTGGGGCTTGAACTCAGGAACTGGAGGCTGTCTCTTAGCTCATGGCTAGCACTCTACTACCTGAACCACAACTCTATTTTTGGCTTTTTGCTGGTTAATTGGAGAGAAGGGTCTCAACAGACTTTCCTGCCTGGGCTGGCTTAGAACTAGGATCCTCAGATCTCAGCCTCTTGAGTAGCTGGGATGACAGGCGCAAGCCATCAGCACCTGGTTTTTTACAGAAAGTTTGAAAACACCAGTACATGGCCCTTGAAGCAACTGACGGCCCCCGAGCCCTGTCCACCCCAACCCAGGCCTGCCCTCCACCCCCACTTTCTCAGAAGCTTTGGGTTTGCATCCTAGTGATTCAAGGGAGAGGGGAGTACAGGGCAATGCCACCCCCCAAACACCACCTAGACCATTTCCTTCTTCTGTCCACATATTACTGGGGTACACAAAGTAATCACCCAGATTATGGTGCTTAGGAGGCTGGAACTCTGAGCCCAAGGAGGCTGGATGGGCCTCAGATCCAAAACCTTCTCTCTCCAACTTCCTCCTGTTATGAGGTACCAGAATTTCCTCTCCCCTCAAATTGGGGAAAGCCTATCATGGAGCCTGAGACTATTTCTAGAAGCTTCCTGGCCCCTCGGTGAAAGACACCTACCCTGTCTGGGAGCCATCAGAAGACTCTGATCACTCTGCTCACAGGGGCCCCATCCCCACAAGGAAAGAAGACAGGTCCCCCAGGGAGAAGCTGAGCAGAGGCTGGCCAGGTCCCCTCAGCCTCTTGTCTGCACCTGTCCAGCAGGCTGTCCTGTGTCAGTGAATCTAATCTAAAAATGGCACTTCCTGGGCCTTTGCAAGGCTCCATGTCACATGAAACTTTCCCGGAAGAAGTCTGTTACTCGTTCCTCTAGGAACCTCATCTTTAGACACTGAGAGTGTTGGCAGTGCCCTCGGGAAGGGGACTTCCCCGGCTAACACACCCAGAAAATTCTTCAAGACTCAATGCCAGGAGACAATTTGCCTGGCTCCAAAGGGTCCCAGCCTGTCACTGTCACTGCAGCTGAGGATGCGAGAGGATGAGGTGAGAGGCCGGAGACCCAGGGAGCAGCACTGGGCTTCCAAAGCATCTCTGAATGGAGCAAACACACATCAAGTTCAGAACTGATCTGTGTGTGTGTGTGTGTGTGTGTGTGTGTGTGTGAGATGGGTGGCCAAATGGTCTCCAGACATCAAAACCATGTGTGGGCTACAGCAACATGGAGTTAAGGAAGTCTGTTTACCCACAGAGATAGGCACCAGGCTGCTAGGCTATTTTTATGGCAGTAAAGCAAAAACAAATAGACCAAGTCATGGTGCCAAGCCTGGGACTTCCTCCTGTGGATTCCCTTCTTCCTGCTCGCTGGACAGCTTTGGGGAGGTGCATCTTTGGAGGTAAGCCCTCTCCCCCCTCTGCCGAGTCTCAATGTGGAAATAGGCTGTGCCTCAGATTAGCAGGTCTGTGATTCGATTAGCAGCAGGAAAGCAGGCTCTGTTTCTCTTCTTGAAAATTAGCTTAGGCTTGGAAGGGCCTTCCAGCACTTTTCGCCCCGTGGGTTCCCCTTTTGCTACCCTTCACCCTGGATTTGCCTGTACCCCTTCTGTAGGCTTGCTAAGGATCTTCTGCTTATTCGAACAGTGCACCCACAAGTACTCTCACTTCGGGTTTTCCCACATAATGCTTCCTGACCCACAACCTGACTTCTCCCTTACTTTCCAGAATTCCAGGGGCAATAGGGAGCTGTACCCCAATCCCCAGTAGTCCCCAACCCCCTGTCCCACATATGCCCCTCAGGGCCAGGAGCCATTTCTTCTGTATTGTTTGTCTACAGGACAAGGGTAATGTTATCAGTCTCCACAGCCAGCCCATAAAAGCAAATGAAGGAAGAACAAAGGGAAATATATTTGCCAAAGACAGGGAATTACTTCATTCCAGTATCTTAAGAAATGGATGCTACGTCTCCGCTCCATCACTGAGTGATTCAATTCACCAAAACATTGCAAGGATACTTTTTCAAACATAAATGAAAGCATGCATTATTAATGCCATAAAATAAGAAGTAGAGAGGAGGCGATGGGCCTCTCCTGTAGTAGGCCTACAATGGACGTTTATTCCAGAGTAGGAGCTCTTTGAGATGGCAGTGCCAGGCTGGCGGTCAGGAGAGCCAGGTGCACTATGGGTGCTCTTCCATGCCAGTCCACACCCTCTGGCTCCGGATCCAACTGATAAAACCAAGCCTTGGAGGAATTCCAGGCACCACCTTAGCCTTTCTCTGCAGCCATCTGGATTAGCCCTATTATAACTGAGCCCGTCTGCGAAGCTGGGGTGGGAGGGGACGCAGAGTCAGGCAACATGAATGTAAATCTCGCCTCCTTGAAAAATGACCCCAAAGTGGGATCCATGCAGCTGGGGGCGGGAGGGGGGGTACCGCACTTTGTTAAGGCTGATGGGGTGGGGTGGGGGCTCAGAAGGTGAGTGGCTTTTTGAAATTATTTTCAACAGCCAATGACATCAGCTCCAAAATAGGGAAGGAGGAAACCGGCAGGAAAAGTAGAGAAGACCAAGTGGCCCCAAACAGAGAACACACCCACACCCTTCCCCTCCCCGCCGCCAGCGCCGTCGGGACTGGAGCTGCGGGCGGAACCGCACCACCCAGGTGGGAGATCGCGGACCGCAGATCCGGGGTCCCAACCAGAGGGCGGGAGGAGAGCTGCGGCGGGGCCGGGCCGCGAGGGGCGGCGCCCACCCCGGCCAGGCTTCCCCCCAGCATCTGCCCGGCGCCAGGGGTGACACAGAGCCCCTGTGGCCCGGGGGCCCCGCCGAGGGCACGCGGTCCCGGACCCCTCCGGGCCGGACCCGGGCGCGCGCGGATGCCCGGGGAGACCCCGAAACTTCGAGATGCTTTTTGTTTCGGAATCCTGTGATTCTGAAACTTTGAGCTTTGAAGCTTCTGGAGCGAATCGCGCCTTTTCCTGAGCCGCCGCCGCCCCGACGGCGTCCTCTCCGGGGAGGGGCCCCCAACTACGCGGCCCGACCGCGGGGACCGAGCCCAACCTGCCGCACGGAGTGGGGGGGGAGCGCCCCGAGGCTGGACCCTTCCCGGCGGGCCCCCCCGCGTCCGCCATCCTCCCCGATCCCGCCGCTTGTCGGGGGTCCCACGGCATCCGGAAGTCCTGCTAAGGGCGCCGCACCCCGGGACCCCGTCCGCGTCCCCGGAGACACCCCTGAGGCACTCACCCAGCCCCGGCGCCTGTCAACCAGGAGATCTGCGCGGGCCGCGCCGCCGGGAGGGAGCGGGCGGGACGGGTGGGCGGGGCCTGGGTGGGCGGGGCGCCCGCCTCTGTGGGCGGGGCCCGGGAGCGCTGGTGGCCCTGGGGGTGGAGCACGGCCTGGGCGGGCGGGGCCTGGGCGGGCGGCTGGCGAGACCCTGCTGGACTTCCCGCTCCTCGCCCCTCCGCGTGCGGTCGGACCTCGCGGCTCGCCAGCACCCAGGTCTCCCCCAGAGACCTCCTGCCCTGCCCTGCACCCGCTGATCGCCTCCTGGTTCACCCCAGGTCACACCCAGACCCCACTCGCAAGCCTGGAACCGCCCCCCACAGTTTCATCCACATCTCAGAGCCCCATCCTAGTGGATCCTAGCTCCGTGACACCCTCCCGGCTCCAGCAGCTCGGACCCAGGCCCGGGCCCCTCCCCGCCTCCAGCGGACTCGTCCCCTGTCTGTGGAATGGGCAGGCGAACCCCTGAAACTCCTGCTTGCCCTCTCCTTGTTTAAAGGCTAGTAGTGGGGCTTGCACCCAGGGCCCGGGCTCTTTCTCCGGCTCCTTCTCTCCTGGCTAGCACTCTGACTCGAGCCCCAGCGCCACTTCTTGCTTGCTGGTGGTTAGCTGGAGACCACAGTCTCACAGACTTACCTTCCCCAGGCTGGCTTTGAACCGAGATCCTCAGCTCTCAGGACGACAGGTGAGAGCCATGGCGCCCAAGCTAACATGTTGTTGTTTTTAATAACAGAGGAAATTGGCTTGGGCCCAACCACTGCCCTTGTTCTGGTACGAGGAAGTTGGCAGAACACCACAGGCCATTACTAGGGAGACCGGAGACCCGCAGAAAATCTCTCTGGAGACGGTTAAGGAAACGACTGATGGATTTTTTTTTCTCTTTTCCTTTTTTTCCCTTTCCTTCCTTTCTTCCCTCCCTCCCTCCCCTGCTTCCTTCCTCCCTTCTAAGCAAAAAGCACTAGCAAGCCCGGGTTCTCCATCTTGTGCTGGCTCCTACCCCAGCTCCTCAACTCCTGAACCAACCCCCACCCTGGGAGCTACTTTGTTCTCTCTGGCCCTCAGCCCCTTACCTGTGAGCCCCGACCCTGTGGCTTATAGGGGAGCTGTACAATTGCACCCCACCCTCACCCCTGGGAAAAAAACCCACAGCTGGGCGCCGGCGACTCACGCCTATCCTAGCTACTCAGGAGGCTGAGATCTGAGGATCGCAGTTCAAAGCCAGCCAGGGCAGGACAGTCCATGAGACTCTTATCTCCAATAAACTACCAGAAAACGGGAAGTTGCACTTTGGCTCAAGCAGTAGAGCACTCACCTTGAGCTGAAGAGTGCAGAGACAGCATTGAAGCCCAGAGTTCAAGCCCCATGATCAACAAAACAAAAAAACATAAACAAAAAAAACACAAAAATCAACATTTCCAACCCAAAGCTTTCCAGCAGGAAATAAAAGTTAAAGGGGCCACACAATCATGCTAGACACAGAAAGGACATTTGACAAAACCTAGCATGCTTTCTGTGATCGGAATGTTCACTAAAGTAGGAATGGCAGAGCTTCCTCTACCTGATGATGCAGGTCCTGTGACAGCCACACAGCTGGCTGAACTCAAGAGGTGAGAGTGGACCCAACAAGGAGCTGGTAATCGTAGCTACTCAGGAGGCTGAGATCTTGAGGATCACAGTTCAAGGCAGCCCAAGCAGGGAAGTCCATGAGATTCTTATCTCCAATTAGCTACCAAAAACAGCCCGAAGTGGAGCTGTGGCACTCATGGTAGAGGGCTAGCCTTGAGCAAAAGAACTCAGGGACAACGCCCAAGCTCTGAGTTCAAGCCCCACAACCAATAAAAAGGAAAAGAAGCCAGGCGCCAGTGGCTCACACCTGTAATTCTAGCTACTCAGGAGGCTGAGATCTGAGGATCGTGGTTCAAAGCCAGCCTGGGCAGGAAAGTCCATGAAACTCTTATCTCCAATAAACCGCCAGAAAACCAGAAGTGGTGCTCTAGCTCAAGTGTTAGAGTGCTAGCCTTGAGCTGAAGAGCTGAGGGACAGCGCTCAGGCCCAGAATTCAAGCTCCACAAACAACAACAAAAAAAAAGAAAGAAAGAAAGAAAGAGAAATCCAGTCTAGGTAGAGAAGGCTGGGGACAGCCTGGTGAAGGCCAGAACCAGAAGTGGAGGATGGGAAGTAAAATCCCACTCATACTCTGTATCTGGTGCTCCTTACAAGCTGCCTATCCAGAGAAGTTCGGTAACATGGCCCAGATCACACAGCGGGTTGGTTGCTGGGGTTGAATTGCTGTGTGTGTGTGTGTGTGTGAGAGAGAGAGAGAGAGAGAGAGAGGGAGGGAGAGAGGGAGGGAGGGAGGGAGGGAGGGTGACTGATGTGACTGTCCAGCGGCTTGAACTCAGGGACCCTTAGCAAAACGTTGCTTTTTTGCTCAAGACTAGCATTCTACCACTTAAGCTACAACTCTACTTCTAGCTCTGTGCTGGTTAGTTGTTCCTTCCTGCCTGGGCTGGCTTTGAACCATGATCCTCAGATCTCAGCCTCCTGAGTAGCTAGGATGAGAGGCGTGAGCCACCAGCGCCCTGCTCATACTTGTCTTTTGAGGGGCCCTAGCACTGAATCCTAAATAAATGATCAACCACAGGCACCCTGTGATGCCGGGCCACCTGCTGGCTGCTCCCCAACACTGGGGCATCCAGGAACCCTGTAACCTCATGGCACAGTGGGGAACCTGAGACTTACTGCCACGAAGGGGCTTCTGGGAGTAGGGACCAAGGGCACTGCGGAGGGGGCAGTGCCACACAGTCATATTGGTCTCACCAACAGTCACATGATCTGCCTAGCACTGCTAAGGCAGCAATCCTGCTGGGGAAGTACTGTTTCCATTTCACAGGTACGGCCCAGAGAGGTTAAGCAAGTTTTCAAAGCTCACACAGAAGGACAAGGAGGCAGTAGGGCTCAAACCTAGCCTGCCTGGACCTCACAGAAATTTCTAGATGGCCTAGAGCTGTTGTTCTGTGAACACAGAGGCTTTGATGGGGTGGTACAGCCTGGGCCTGTGTGCCTAGATGGACAGGGCGTCTGCTGCCCCAGGGCGCCCCGGGACCCTGGCTGGGGCTGGGGTACTGGGGATCCCACAGCTCAGGCCAAGCTGGGGCGAGCCCTGGCATTCCTGAGGTTGCCGTCTTGCCTGGCCGGCCACCCAGCCCCACTGTCCCTTCCGGGGCTCCCAGAGGGGGCTCTGGCTGGGGCCGTGCACCTGGCTGCGCCTGTTGGAATTTGAGCCGAACACGGGTGTTGGCCCAGCAGCCCTGGCACCTGGCACGGGGCAGTCTAGGGTCAGCACCCCTTCCCGGGGCCGGGAGGAGCCTGGCATGGCCCAGTGTGGCCTGGCCTCCCTCTCGCCACCAGCTCCACTCCGGCTCCTGTGGCTGGAAGTGGTGGTGGCCTGTGGCAACGCCTCTCAAACCGCGGGGCCCACCCGGCCTCACCCCACAAAGCCCGTCCGGCCAGGCCCCGGGGTCACAGGGGCATGGTGGCACAGTGCTGGGCACAGGCCGAGTTTTAGCCCTTCAGACCTACCAAGGCCACTTCTTCTCCACCAGCCTAAGCTCCTGACTCAGTTTCCCCATGGTCTAGAGAGTCACCGAGAACTGTAGGCTCCAGGCTGTTTTCTCCGCCGCCCTCAGCTCTAAAAGCCCCTCAGCCCGGCTCACGGTACTCCAGCCACAAACATGTCTGCTGCTCTTGCTCTGACTGGCCTCAGGGCCTTTGTGCCAGCCGTGCTTCATGCCTGGTCTCTCCACGGGGCTCATGGCTTCCTTCAGCCGGACACACCCCGCCTGCCCTCCGTCACCTCCTGCCTCCCCGCGCTTTTCTGCCATTCTCACAAAGCAGCAGGTGCTCTGCCACTTGGGCCTCCCCCCCCCGCCCTCCTTTTCTGTTTTAATCATTTCCAAATGGAATCTGGCATTTATGCCCAGGCTAGGCTGGACTGAGATCCCCCTATCTACATTTCCAGCACAGCTGGGACAGCAGGCACTTACCACCACACCTTGCCTTTCTCAGTGGAGATGGGGTTTTTCAAACTCTTTGCTCAGGCTGACCTCAGACTGCAATCCTCCTGACAAATGTCCCAAGGCCCCAACAGGAAAGCCTCTGCCACACAAGGTCAATTCCTCCTAAAATGACGAAAGCCGGGAAGAAAGGAGAAGTGAGTCAGGACCTGACTCATTTCTAAACCTATTTAGCATTTCCCCCTCTCCCCCATCAGAAGCAGGTTGTGCAACCAAAAACCTCCTTCCTTCTTGGAGCCCCATGTGCTCCAGGTTCCAGGAAGCACCATCCCTTGAGCCTCCCTGGCCCAGTGCCACTGGTGACAAGGCCCTTTTGAGACAGGGTTTCAGGGTGTATAGAATTCAAGGTCCTCCTGCCTCTGCCTCCTGAGTGCTGGGGCTACAAGTGTGAACCACCAAGCCCTACCCAGTGTGTGCTGTGTAACCTGGGAATTCAGCACACAGATGTGGAGAATGTAACAGAACGGCTCTGCAGGCAGCAGCCTCAGAGTAGGTGCAACGCAGGTGGCTGTTGAGAAGGAGATAAAGCCAGGTGCTGGTAGCTCAGGCCTGTCATCCTAGCTACTCAGGAGGCTGAGATCTGAGGATCATGGTTGGAAGCCAACCTGGATAGGTAAGTCCACAAGACTCTTCTCTCCAATTAACCATCAAAAAGCCAGAAGTAGAGGTGTGGCTTAAGTGGTAAAGTGCAAAAAAAGCTCAGGGACAAGGCCCAGGCCCTGAGTTCAAGCCCCAGGATCAGCACCAAAAAAGAAAAGACAAAAGAAAAGAAAAGGAGGTGGACAGGACTGGAAGCATTACTCAAGTGGTAGAGCGTCTGCCAAGCAAATGCACATTCCCACCAAATTAAAAAAAAGGGATAAGGACAGCCAGGTGCAGTAGCACTCATCTGTAATCCCAGCACTTGGAAGC